GTTTAATGAGATTGAAACGCTCATTTTTTGGAAGGCGGTCCATTACACTAATAACACTGAGGTTCTAATTGCAGATTTTTAATCTGCTTGTCGTCATATGGGCGTGAAGCACATGTAATCATCATTCTTATACAACTCGTATCATGTTAAAGAATACGTCAAATGAAGTCTAAAACATTTGTACCATTATGTGAATATTTCTCATATTTTCACGCATTCTCACCTCGGGAAATGTCCAAAAGTTTTCTTTCTATCATTATATTGGCGTGACCTTCGTTTGAGATTTGTATCATTATCTCGGCACTTTTTAACCCAATGGGGAGCAGGATGTATTTTTTCAAGTTTGTGCTCACAATATAAAGAGGGGTAAAATGTCGTGCTACTTCACCGTAAACAAATATTGCAATATTTATATTATTTTCGACAAATGTCGTTTTCTACAGCCATTTTAGAACTTGATGTCAAAACAAGAATAGTTAGCAATGTTTTACGCACTCAGAACTCGCCAATAATCCGATCGATCAATTTGTATCACCGAGAACTACGAAAAATCTAAAAACGAAATAATTTTCGCGAGTTCTGAGGTTAGTGTACGTCATTGCCAGAAACATTGGGTGACCAAGAAACTTTGTACCCCTGTTGATAAGTGAGAAAGATTACTGAGCCGTAAGATTAAGATCCCTAATTCGTAAACTTGCCTTAGGAGGAGTATTCTGATCTCGATTATAAAAATTCGCTGCAATAATTTTTACATTCCATAACAATTTACTGGTACGTCATTTTCGAAACACAGTTGAACTACGAAACAGATTTTGAAAGTGTGCTAAAAGGTTTCAAGAATTGTTATTATAATAAGGAAAGATACAAACAGTTTCCCTACAATTCGTCTTAAAACCATACAATTTCACAATGCACTTATTCAGAAAAGGTTGAAATGCTGAATATGATTTTTTTGGCTTTAGAATAAGTTAGTTAATCGAATTGATTAACTAACCAAAGCATAAGTTGTGAATTCCGGGCAATTGGGTTTAAATTTTTGTTAAAAATTCCAACGTAGCTTTGATTAAAGGAATAAATCTCCTTGATTATTTGATAACAAAAATTATTCAGTAAATTATCAAATGTGGTTTTAGCTTCAATTCTCAATTTAAATATTATGCTTTATGCGGATACTTACTTGAAAACACGATTGAGTATCGTTTATAATGGAATTTTCTGGCAATAACATAATTTAAAGTTGCTGGGAGATGTGGCTCAGGGCATCAACTAATATGCAATGCAGTGCCTCTGACCGGGGGTCCTAGGTTCGAGTCCCAATGGTGGCAGACTTTTCGACAGAACCCTAACAAATGTGCCACGGATCGCGCGATCTTTCGTTCCTCTTCCTTGTCATATCATCAGCCCTCACTTACACACTCTTAAACTAACGTGCAATACACTACCACGCATGTCGGGAGCTTAGAGCTTGTACCGGCTACGGCGGTGCCCCGCTGGTGGTAGATACCTTGTTGGGGAAATGTCCGCTAGCGGACGTTAGTCGGCGCCGGATCTTACCATCAAGCGGGGAAAGATCACCGCCACCTCCCGAGGAGAAACATTCACAACACTTGCGGGACTAATGAACTTAACAGCTGACGCCCCCGGAATCGCCTATCAAATATATATATATATATATATATATATATATATATATATATATATATATATATATATATATATCCTTGACACATTTACATTACATGAGGAATCTTTTATCCCACATTTCAGATAAATAATTATTATTTTTGTTTATTGTTAGCATACTTCCTCTGTTATAGATGTCTTCTGACCGCATTTACTTCATTACCTTATTTGACAAACATGTTTGCTCCAAGAAAATCGAATATTTTATTCTCACTTTCTAACATCAAAATCTGAGGGGAGATGGATCTCGTTAGTTTGTACATGTGAGTAAGGATACAAAGAAAGTTATAGCAAAAACTCGAGCTTTTAATCCATCCCGTACATCCAAGTTAATACTTATTACGAGTACTACACTTGAAGTTTTACTGGTTAATCAGCATATAAGCTATCGTTTCTTTGATGTTAGAAATATGTCAGATAATGTTGATTCTCAAGTATAAGTAACAAAAAGTAGCAACATGACAATTTGGTGATTCGTATATTGTTCATAAACGACTAAAGTCTATGAAAAGGTCTTCGAAAAGCAAACTCTTCTGTCGGAATAGCCTAGAGAGGAATTGGTAATTATTATTAATGCGAATCTATCGACTTGGCCGGTCGGCTTTGAGTATTTCAAAACGATCTTCCGAAGAAAAGAAGGAACAACACCGCTTGCGTATACAACTTTCTTATTGCTTAGAAGAAGGCCGCGGAAGGATGTCCCGAATGTCGGGAGCACCAGCCTTCGACGCGGCGTCTCGCAGATGGCCATGTGCAACACAAAACCTACCGCGGAAGATTGCGATTTCTTTAAATATTCTGCATATTTCCTCTAATCTTACTTCTCCCTCTCAGCACAAAATAAATTCGATACTGAACTATTCACTACCAAATAATGGACAATAAAGTCGGCTTAAAGAACCTTTCCAACTATTTATCGTCTCGGAAGCTGGTAAACTGGGCGTAAAGCCGGAAACCCTGGTTCAATAACCGGTGGGAGTGACTAATTCTTTGAAGAATTTGGGATATAAATTCACTGAGTACAACCAAAAAGAAAAGACAATGGTCTGTCCTCTCTCTACAGTACAACTGAAATGCACTGCTACGAATTTCGCCACGGGAGCATGAGAAGATTGGAACAAAACGACAATGTCGGACGCGACCCTGCGTATGCCGTTTGCGTAATAAAGTTTCCATTAGAATTTTTTCGCTGAGGAAGTTCTTAATCCGCTCAAGTATGTGTTCCAAAACACTTGAACCAATCGTAATTCTAGGTCTTAGGTAAAAAGGGTGTATTTTTGTATTGTGTTGAAATAAAAAGCGATATGATCATTGTCTTCACAGAACATATTACAATAGATATCTTTATTGATTTATTCAGACTTCATGAAAACGTTGAGCCATATAATTATTGGTTGTACAAAATATCATGTGTGTTTCTTGACTTTTTTTTTCGCGAGTGGTGGTGCTCCTCCAGCTATATTCAGCTCGAGTTACAGTAAACATCGCTGAAAAATGCGGCGAATGAACCGTAGAAATGCGAAGTTCATCGCACCCGTTCCAGCTAGTGAGTGAAGGGATGAACTCGTTGAATCAGGAACCGGTCAGCAACCAAGCGCTGTCACTAAGTGATTTCAATATAGCAAGCACCATGCAAGTAGACATCGCCTCTTTGCCAGCTCTAGAGGGCATCTTCAGGGCGCAATCAATTCTTGAAACAGTTTCCTGTAGGCAAGATTGTTGGCATAAAGTTGTAGAAATTCGAAACTGTACTGTGACATTCACGAGACCATTTTACGTTCCTGCGTGAATGGAAACTTCAGGTACCTCTGCTGCTCCAATTCCTTTTCCCGTACACGAAACACACGCGATGCACTTTCCAGTGAACAAGTTCAAGAATAGGCTTGGCAGAAGGAAACGTGGGAAGATGCCCACGGGCCCCTGAATGAGACCTCCCACTAATCGCCAACGACGAGTTGTTGTGGGAAAGCCGGAGATGCCGCGAGGCGAGACAGCCGTCCCGGAAAGGCCGAGCGGCGAGCGTGCGGCGGCGTGCGCGGAACACGAGTTTCGCATTCGCGTGATCGCCGCGCGCAGCCCGCGAGCCGTGTGCCGTGCGCGGGGCGCGCAGGGGGGCGCGCTGACTCAGCACCCAGGTGCAGCGCGCGGGACGAAGGGCGCGGCGCGCAGGGGGCGGAGGCCCGGCGCGCCCGCGCAGCCGCCGGCCTTCGCCGCTCGCCCCGCCCCTCGGGCGCCATTGGCCGGCGCGGCGGACCGGCCGCCACAGCGCGGCGACGAGCGTCGCGGCGGGGAGCGTGGCGCCGCGGCGCAAGGAGAGCCGAGGCGCGGAGGGCGCGGCGCGCGGGGGCGGGGACGGGCCGGCCGCGGCGCGGCGCGCACGGGCGCGGGCGCCGGCGGACTCAGTTCCCGCGGGGAGCCAAGCGCTCGGGAGCACGCCGCTCGCTGCCGCGCCCTGCTTTTTTTTTGGCCGGCGAGGTCCCCGGTCGCAAGCGGAGCGCCGCACGGCGGGAGGCCACGGCGGCGCCAGTTGTGCATGTGCGCGCGGCGGGCGGCGGCGGCTGCTGCAGCGGGCGGCGCACGCGCACGAGACAGCGGGGCGGCCGAGGGCGCGGGCGAGGGCGAGGCGCGGCGGCCGCCCCGGCGGCGCCGCCACCATGCTCAATCCGTTCGTGGACGGCGGCGGCGCACCACCTGGCCAGCATGGCCTGAAGATGAGCCCTCCGCCGGCGGGCGGCGCGGCCGGCGGCGCGCCGGGCGCCGACTTCCACCAGGGCGGCTACCATCATCACCACCACGCCAGGCCGTCGCGTTCGCACCAACCGCTCACGCGCAGACGCGGCTACGCGGCAAACTGTGCGTCTAGGGCGCGCGACTTCCTGCTTGCGGCGCGAGCACACATCACCACGCGCACGACGGCGCACGCAGCGGCGCACGCAGGCGTTCGGCGCAGCGGCAGGCGGCGGGGCGCGTGGCGCGCGGCGACGGCCGCCGCCGTGCTCTTTCCCGTCCGCCGCCGCCGCTGCACCACGAGGCGGCGGCGGCGGCCGCGGCCAGCGCACCACCTGGGCCAGCAGCACCTCGCACGCCCACCCCGCACGCGCACACCCGCTGCACGGCACACCACACAGCAACGTGCGCCACCTGGCGGCGCACGGCATGGAGCACGTGTACGCGCGGCCGAGCACGCGGGCGCCTACTCGCCGGCCGCCGCCGCCGCCCTTCGCGCGCAACCCTGAGGCGCTGGGCCGGCGTGGCCGGCGGCGTGCGCACCACGGCTGCCTTCTTCCGCTACATTGCGGCCGCCGGTCAAAGCGGAGATGGCGTGCATGTGGGTGGAGCCCGAGCAGCCCCGCGCGCGCAAGGCGTGCGGCAAGAGCTTCGCGTCCATGCACGAGATCAATCACCCACCTCACCGTGGAGCACGTGGGCGGGCCCGAGTGCACGACGCACGCGTGCTTCTGGCAGGGCTGCCCGCGCAACGGCCGCCCCTTCAAGGCCAAGTACAAGCTGGTGAACCACATCCGCGTGCACACGGGCGAGAAGCCCTTCCCGTGCCCGTTCCCCGGCTGTGGCAAGGTGTTCGCGCGCTCCGAGAACCTCAAGATCCACAAGCGAACGCACACGGGTGAGTGACGCGCCTCCGCGCCGAGGCCGCGCGACCTGTTGCGCCCGCGGCGCGCCCGGCCCCGCCCAGCCCCAGCCCCAGGCCCAGCCCCAGGCTTCACACCTCCCCCACGCTCTAGTGTAGTGTAGTGCAAGTGCCCGACGACACGAGATTGAGACCTGGTAGCGCACAGAAAGGAGTGCGCAACAGTGAAAACCATTTTGCGAAATAGTTGGTAACGAAACCTTGAGTACCCCTTCATTTGCTGTCGTCGTGAATGATTGTTAATTGATGTTTGCTGCTGGTTTGGAGTTTGTTGGTGAACGTGAATAATCATGGTTGGTTCTCTTGTACAGTCTGACTTTGACAGACATCACACAAACAAACACTTTTTTTTTCTGAAATGCTAATGTAAATACTCAGTTAATTACAAATTATGCAGCTTGCTGGTCATTAGCCGCACACTCACACAATACAAAAACTAATACAATGAGTGGAGAATCCCTTTGACGAGCTTTACTACTGCAGGGTTCAGAACACTGGTGGTATTAAAGTCATTTGCATGCAAACAATTCTCCTTAATCTGAACTTTAAAGTACAGAAGGTATGTTTTGAAGTTTGCAAGAGAAGCATTTTAAGAGAAAATTTAGAACAGAAATGCTTTATAAGAACACTCTGGTGAACAATATTTCTTGTCGTTGCTTTTAAAATTAGCTACTAACTCTTACAAAATTATTTCTAAGGGATCTCGTCTTACCCTTCACATGATATGTGTCTATCAAGTAAATCCTCTTTTTTATATACAAGTGTATTATCAAGTATAAAAGTATTTAACTAGCGTCAAAAAAATTAAGAAACATCCTTTTGAAATCAGAATTGTGAAGGGTCTTTAGAGCTTTGAAATTGTGAAGGGCTTCAAAAGAGAGGATTTTATATTTGTTTGTAATCTGTTTATATTGGTCACCCATTAGGTATACCCAAAAAAATTGAAATGTCGACGTATATCATGTAGTATAACTTATATACTCGTATTCGTGGATAATGTACAGTTTTCATCTCTTGTTTAATCTGTCGTTTTGTCTAATGTTTTTACAACATATGTCACTATTCTCAATGTCAGTCTCGTATGTCACACAATACTCTGCTCTGCTTCTTACTTCTCTGTCACATCGCGTGATATTTTGCATTAAGCGTAATCTAATGTAGTAATACTTTTGCCATCCAATTTGTGTTGTTACTAAAACGTGTTATTTTTCTACATTCCAACATTTTCACCTCCAACACTTCTGGTTACAGAAACAAATGAATATAAAACACACATCTATGTGCAATATCTGTTATTTTAGTTAAATTACTTATATTAACGAGAAGCTGTCAAAATATTAACTTGGAATAAATATAGTATTATATTGCTATTAAAAAGAACGTTAGAACTTTAATTGAACATTTAGTCAGTCTCCTGATGTAACAATATAAATTAGTTCACAGCTCTGCACATGTTCAAATAGATGTAATCTTATACATCCCATATCCGGTCGATTTTCGCATCCGGTAATCTGTCAGTCTCATTCTGTTAACAACACGATCTTAGATACGAAGAAATTGTACTTCTGTCATTGCCTTGTTTTTGTTTGAATTAAGTCATTACGATCTTAGGAGCGTGAAATTGAAGATATATGTTGTCGTTTATGAAGTCGAAAACTCATTATACTATTTGATCAAGGAGAGTCGTTCTTGTTAGAAAATTACGGAAGGATACTGTCTTCCTTTTAGTAAATAAAATAGAAAACGTAGTATTATATGTTCTGAAGATCTGAAAAGTATACAAGAAAACCAGAAGCTTCAATAAAATGTCAAGATTTTTCTCGCTTGTCGACGGAAAATTAACTACGTTACCGCCCCCAAAAAACTCCTCCCAGCAAAAGAACTAGTTTTTTGTTAATAAACTCGAAGAGATCACTTTATTTTGGGAAGGAGAGAGGGACTGGCTAATAGTATTGGAATAACAGCGCATCCCGAATCGAAAGAACGCTTGTCACTGCTTGCGAATAAGCTGTTAGAATCCCCTACTTCAGTGCAGTCCGCGAAAAAGTGAAAGGCAGCAAAGCGGGGCACGTGCGCGTAGTAAACAAATACTCGAGTCGCCTGTGATTAGTCTCTCAGGGGCATTGCGAAACCCCTAATCCTTCTCTCTGGCAAGCGAGAACTGCGTACTTACAGTATTTATAACACTTTTCGTGGAAAAGCCGCCGTAGGAATGTTAAGCCCCCCGACGCGACTCGACTCGACGGCCGGGGGGGCTGCGGAGGTAGGAGCCTCGGCGCCGGCTGCGCGAGCCCTTTGTGCCCCGGGGCCTAGGGCCTCTTCGCTCCGGTCCGTGTTACGCCACGCGGAGGCGTTCAGCCGTCTTCATCTGCTTCGCCGCCCTCGCCCGCTTTCACGCTTTGTTTTGAGGGGCCGATCAGCGATAGGCGGCGAGCGGAGCGGGAGAAAGAGCCTGGCTTTCCTCTCGACGACTATTAACGCTCAAGCGACTGTTAACGGCGGATTGGCTGTCGTGAGATCGAGGGTTGAATAAAGGAGCGTCGTGTCAAATAGCGGATTCGACACGGAGAAATTAAACGCTTCATTTCGTGATGATGCAATGGCTGGTGCGTCACTCGCGATACCGTCGCGTTCCCAAAACGGAATGGTTCCAAAAAAATTAGAGATGTTACCCAGACTAAAAATAAATCTAGGAGGTGGGCATCCCGGAGTGCCACGCTACCCCAGGGAAATATTAAATTTGGAAGAGTGTAAAAGATTTTCACAACGATAACGTGTTGGCCAATCAGCTACGGTAGATTATTATTTATTCACCGTGGTGTGATTTTTACGATGCTCGCAGACGATTACATCCTCTCGCCTGAAAAGTTTACAAGTTAATGTTGTGTTTCAAACGATTTTGTTTGAAATATTGCTTGAATTAATTGTATAATAAGTCACCAAAACATACGTGAGTTTGAGACGTCTATTATAAATTTGCAATAAGTAGCTTTCCTGAATTAGATGTCGAGTTGTGTCATGACACACTGAGAAATTTATGGAAAAAAAGGAGGGAGATCACTCATAAAGTCTGACATTACTTCGGATTTGCGATTTTATTCGGTGTCATAATAAAGTAAAACAAAGAGCAATAGATAAAATGTTGGCCATTTATAACAAACTATCTAATGGAACATTTCTGAAGTACAGCATGATTAAAAAATTCTTATCCTCGACTAACTGTCTAACTGTATGTATAATGTTTAAAAGTTTCACATAAAACAATTTCTTAATATATTATCTACACATTATGAAATATTGAACATTATGTTCATTTCACATCAGTAACTTGATTGTGATAAGGTAACAGCGGTGTAATTTGAATGAAAACCGCAAGCGTAACTTTACCGACCCTGAGCAAAGATAGACGCGCACATGTGTCATTTCATTTAACGTGGCGATAGCAACCTCGGATAAGGCTCGCATACGAATGAGTCGGGTATTTGTGCGCACATCGGCGCCTCCGAAACAGCCGGCGGCGCGGCTGGCACGCGACGCCGGCGGAGGGACGGACGGCATGGGAGCGGCTCTCGCTCAATCCCGCTCGCCCCACGCCCCGCGCCCGCGAGCCACGACTTCAATCTCGCCTACCGCTCCGAAATGCTCCACTTTACCCAGTCTTCCCATTCGCAACAATTGAGATTCAACGACAATTCATTTATTCGGATTTGTTCAGAATTAAAAAATATTCTTTAAGTGTGATTTACAGGGTTATGCCGGACCGAATTCCATGATCTGCTTATCACTAGGTAAACGTATTTTTATTTGGGAGTACAATAACGTGATAGTCTTATAATTGTGAATATTATTGTAAAGTAATTCACAACAATTGACATTTAATGACAATTCATTTATTCGGGTTTGTTGAGATTCAAAAAAATGTCTTTAAGTGTGATTTACAGGGTGATGCCTGACCACATTTCATGATCTCCATACTTCCTAGAATATTGGTTTAGTCTGAGATTTTAGAGGGACACCAAAAAAAATGTGAAAACAGTCTCGTAAGTGTCGATGCTACTTCTTTAAGGTTGATGCCTTCGAGCGCAAATGGTCGTGAGACGCGGTTTCAGCCGGTCCTCACATTCGGAAAACCATAACGCGCGAAAGACGGCTTCAGCCACTGCTACCTACCAAAAATAAACCATTCCCGAGCCAGTGCACCCTCTTAATCTGAAGTAAATGGGAGATGCGTTGTTTCAACGAACCTTTCCACTGGGAAAGACCGCGCGGTTCCCGCCGTCAGCCAGTTCCCCGTTCTGAAGCAAACGCGCGAAATCGGTCCTCGCATTCGGAAATGCTCGCGAAAACCATTTGCGCTCGAAGGCGTCAGCGTAGAGAAGTGGCATCGAAACTAAGGAGACTGTTTTCAACATTTTCTTATGGTATCCTCTCAACTCTCAGGGTAAACCAATATTCTAGAAGCATAGGCAGATCATGGAATTTGGTCAGGCATAAACCTGTAAATCACACTATAAAGAATTTTTTTTTTTTTAAATCTGAAACAAAATCCGAATATAAATGAATTGTCGTTAAATGTCAATTGTTGTGAATTACTTTACAATAATATTCACAATTATAAGAATATCACGTTACTGTACTCTCATATAAAAATACGTTTACCTAGTGATAATAACAGTTTACTAGTATTACAATATTCCTGTCCCCATTTGTAAGAACCACTGAATATATTCGTATTGCGGACGAAAGAACTATATGACAGGGTAATTATACGTAAGTGGACAAAATAACCTCAATTTTCTTATTTTGATGTGTCCCCAATAACGTTACATCTACATCCTTGTATCACCGGTTAAAATTTATTCAATCTTAAACAAATATATGAATTCCCTAACCACAATAAAACTTGGTTTTCGAAGCAAAAACTCAGGCCACTCTCCACATTTCGTTTACTTCTAAAATAAATTTAATCGTATTAAAATTCTTTGCGCTTTTCCAAGTAATGTATACATAATTTTAAAATAAATATAATAAATATTATCACCCTATTAGCCAGATTTGAGGATTTTAGACTTGGCCATTTTTTTTGGAAAGCTTAATCATATAAATGTGTAAATGTTGTTTACATACGTTAAATAGTAGATCTGCTGAAAACTATTTTTTTCCAAGGCAACTGTCGTCTGGTCTGTGACGCGATACGGCGACAAACGATAACAAAAGGTTGAACAATTAGGACTACCTAATCTTCTAGTACCCCAAACTGCTTACGACACAACTTCTACTTTCGTAATAAGACTACTGCGATCGTGTCTAATTGTTGTTTTGTAGTTTATGAAAACAAACGATGTCAGTGAGGCAATATATAATTTAAAAGGTGTTCCACTTAACCTGGAAAACTATCCGCATGAGATTCTATTACTTTATTCATGTAATTGATGCAAACGTATTACAAAGAATATTTCATAAAAGTCAATGTTTACGTTTCACGAAAATCCTTCAATGTTAATATTCACTTAGAGTACAAAACCAGAACTGAAAGAGATTTAAATGTGTTTTGAGTAAAATGAAGAGTGGGCAGAGGACACTGGATTGGTTATCCTACTCACAAGTGGAAATTCATTTTTAAAAAGTACAAATTAAAAATATACACATCTTACATGTGTAAGCATTGTAGTTAGTTTTTATAAACTCAGTGTTTCTCAACTGAAGCTAATTAACTAATTACAAAATTAATCATGAAAAGAGCTGGACGAATTTAGAAAAATTAAAGAAAAATCATTTTTAAATGTTAATGGGAAAAACTGATGTATACAGCACTTTTAAATTTTATTCTTTAATTTATAAACAGTTCAAAAACAGAACATGTAAACAATATTTTTTTAATATTTCTATTAGAAGAAGAGACGGGGCTCAACGGTCGGCATTTTTAATCGTAATTTTCAAAAAGATACGAGTAAATAAGAATTTTAATGAAGCAACTTACGTCAGTCTTTAAAATGTTTTTTGTCTAAATTATGTTGATAATCGTACGAACACGTCACAACTTATTTAAACAAAATGTAGGAAAAGCTAGAGGGGTGAGAAAACTCAGATTTCTAATGGGGTAAAATTTCTATGGGGTAAAATGGAAACGACTTGAATTTTGAACTTTCAATAGAATTTTAAAATGAAAATACAATATGATTCATTGACTGCATATTGGTAAATACATACACTTTATTGTCAAAACAATAGATGCAATAAGGTTTTAATTTTATTATTTTGCAGTTTCCTTTCTATGATCAAATTAAGACTATTGGATGTCGTATTATTTTCCTTCAGGGGAAGAGAATTTTTTTCCTTCTTTTTTACTGTCACAAATTCGTTTATTGTTGTCGATCGTAAAAATGCCACTCCCCTTTAAGAAGAACTTTTGTACCTTAGCAACTTTTCTTGTTTGTTTCTTATGACTTAATTCTCGTTCTTCCCGATATTTGCAGTCAAATAACTTTTATGGCATATTCGATATGCAATGCAGTGAAAAATATATTTTCCTCGTAATAAAATTGAATGTTATTACTCAACATTCAAAGATCAGATTTGATGTCGCTAGCTCAAAATGTGTTATTTCTGTCAAGATAATTATTGTAGTTACAATTTTACATAAAAAATTATTTGCATACAATTTTTGACCCGGTATCTCGATTTTCAGTATTCAGGAGGATAGAAACTGAATTTGTGGAAACAATTTTACCCCGGTTGCTTTGTGACCAGTTGGCTCCAAATATACGTTTCATGTTCATTAATTAAATTTAAAATGTTAAAGTTAGTGAGTTAACGCTACCTTGATTATGTTTAGAACCCTTCAATCTTTATTTTCGCTCACCTTATTGCATATTCTTCAAAAGTTATGGAATTAGGCAAAACTTTCCATTATTTGAAGTCGTGATATCACTGCATCACAATAAAACGCCCTTAAAATATAGTGTATTTCAATAGTAAAGAAAATAGTTCACAACAGCCCATTTTCGTGACTGATTTATTTCTTCCTTAGGAACTTCATATGTAGTCCTTATCAATAGTTCTTCTTTGTAAACTATTTGTTGAATATTTAAAGAATCAATATGTAATATTTGCAGTTTCACAAATTTATCGTAGGCACCGAGTACTAATTTTCGATGTTATTGCAATGGTTTCGTTCTTGACCCTTTCTTCTTACATCAAATTAATGCGGGAGTTTACTCACTTTTGTCTATGAAGCTTGTTTGTAAACAAGTATGAGTCATTTTTGTTGTGCTAACAATTTAAACCACACATACGTCCCTATCTCAAATAAAATTACACATCACGTCCCTCTCTTTACATCCAGGCGCAAGCATTTCCATCCAAAGATGTTTACAGTTTTTTTAACGTCAAAGTTTGTCATATGCACTTACAGCATTACTATGATATTGGAAATATAATTGCTGTGAAATATAATAGTTGCATGTGAACAGGTTTTATTTTTAGACGTGATTTGCATTTGTCTTTCCATTTATATTCAGCTATAATTGGAATGGAACAACGGAATATATCCCCGATTTCATTTCTAGTGTTTCTCCCAAAATAATACAGAATGGATTTGCAATGTTCAGTATTCATTTTGCAATATCACGTAGTAATTCTACATCACTTTAACGTCAATAACAACAATTCTATTGCTACTACTACTACTAAATAATAATAATAATAATAATAATAATAATAATAATAATAATAATTTTGCCCACGAAATTTTATATTATTCTTTGTACCCCTACTGACGAAAGAGGCCGCCAGGAGGTATAGTAATCGAGTGGCGTCAATATAGTAATCGGAGGATGTTAAATGGCATAAGGCAATTACGAAGAGTGTTTCGCAAAAGTGTACTCGTTAAAAATAAATAGTGAGGTAACAAAAATATTACAATAATAGAGAAGCAGATGTATGTCAAGCATGAATTAAAATCTTACTATAATTTTACTACAAACACTTTATCAAAGATTTGATTTTATTAAAGATGATATTTTTGATCATGTATTCTGTTACAATATTAAATATTGTTAAAAAAGTTGATGACGTGATGTATTATGAAAACAACTGTTCTAAGAGTTTACTAGCGAGTGTTGTGAGGCAAAATGGAAATGGTATTATTAATCAATTGCAGTACAGTGCTGTGCTAAATAAAAGAAACGAGAGAGCAATTAGGACATCACTGCACATTACTTGTGAACTAGGTTCTAATCATGAAGAAAAATAAAATGATATGAACCTTGCGATTTTGGACCTATTATAAAGATAATAATGATGAAGATGAAGATGAATTCTGCACTATTTTGAAAGTTACATCTACAAAAAGAAAGAGATAGCGGTTTGGCGGAAAGTAAATATTTGGGAAGGTCTCTCGTGGCGAGATATTCAGTTTTTAACGAAGAATTACAATTAAACGGCTCCTCCGACCACTCCGCGTTTCGCGAGCAACTCTGTGATCTTGTGGCGTGGCGCACGAGGCGAGCCAAGGCGGCCGCGCCCAGCGGTCTGCTGTGTTGTGGTGAGCGGGCGTCACGCCCACTGCCGCCCCCTCCGTCCCCCCGCAGAAGGCAGCAAAGGTCCCCAAAGTGCGAGCGATCACCCACTCAACGCCTGCCACTCTATCAAGAGAACTGGTCGCCTTCATTCGGTGCTTTTCGATTAGTTTCAAATTAACCATTTATTAATTCTCACGGGCCTTTTGCCTCATATTATGTTATACATTTTATGAACCCTTCAAAAAATGTCA